TTGGACGTAGCCCACATTGGGTGAACGAGTATAAATCCGATGTCGATTTCTCTTCCCTATATTTTATTGTTCTTGTTGCATGAGGTTTAGGTTGGTTTATCTATTGTTTGAGCATACTTCCGATTTGATTTATTTACGTTATAATTGGAACCAGAACCTGATCTGGGATTAGTTAGCATATATTGTCTGGAATTGTGATTGATATAATATTTGTTAGCTTGTTTTATCCCTAACAGGATATTCAATGAGAAATATAGTTATATTTTTTGTTTTTGCAATATGTTTGGAAGCATATTTGAAAATTGAATATCAATTTTAAAAATAGTTGAATGTGTGTTTAGTAATATATTTGTAACTAGTGGTAGTTAACGACTAAATATTTAGTTCAATATAAAATAGTATTAGTAAATTTATTAACATTTTTGTTGTAAATTTTGTATAATTACTATTTTACAGTATTATATAATTATAATATATTATATTTTACATATTTTAGTTTTAACTAGAATAAATGAGTTTATAACATAATTTTTTTTGTAACTTTTTAATGTAATTCTGCATTTTAAAGTTTCAAAATTCAAAATCTGGAAACACTAAAAAATTTAAGGTGCGTTTCGTTGGTAATCGGAAAACATAAATCTGAAAACAAGAGATGCAATCAATAATAAAGTTTTATTCTTGGTGTTTCGAAGCAAATTTGAAAATTGAATCTCAATTTTAAAAATTGTACAACATATGTTTAACAATATATTTGTAAACTAGTAGTAGTTACCAACTAGATATTTAATTTAATATAAAATAATATTAATTAATTTATTAACATTTTTATTATAAATTTTGTATAATTATTATTTTACAATGTTGTATAATTTATAATATATTTTATTTTACATGTTTTAATTTTAACAAAAATGAAATTGGTTTATAACATGAAATAATATATTTATCAAAGTTTTTTTTTAAAAAAAATGTAATTCTACATTTTAAAGTTTCAAGAATCCAAAAATAATTGTTAAAAACAAATATGTGAAACCTCAAGTTCGAACCTTCTAGTGAGATTAATACCAAAAACCCTTGATGTCTCCCGGGTTCGGGCCTTGGTACGGATGCAGATACCCTTGGGTAGAGGGGAGCAAAGCTTCGACCCCAGTTAAAAAAAAAAAAAAGAAACTTGAAAAATGAGGCATATTCACTGATTCAACGAATCTAAAATAAAAAACAGAATTCAGATTACCAACCAAACATGCCCTAAATTCCCCACCTCTTTGAACTTCGAAGTTTAAAGAAAATCTTATGCTTGAATTTAAAACGGATTTTCATTTTCATTTTAACAAGTTGGCTTTCCAAATTCTATGAAGCTAATTGAGTTTTATAATTTTTAAATTTTTGTTTCTAATATTGTTGAATATTATCTTTGGGAAAAACAACAGTTTGAACTCCCATTTTTCCTTTTCCAAGTAGAGCATGCATATATCTCTATTACTCTCTTATTGTAATTTTCATAATTCAAGATGTGATCTAATTAAAATGCATATGAAAATTTCTTCCCTTAATTTGTCTTATTTATTTATTTTATTATTGTTATTAATGCTGTAATGGAAAGAAAAAAACTCAAATCACCATCTTGGAGTTCCCCTAACATGCAATCTGATACTCAAAACTAATAAATTGTCAAAATTAAAATGCAATTACGTGATTTCACAAGTCATTTCCATACATTACGGGTGTACAAATATACTCGAAAAACTTAACCGACCGAACTTAAAGCAATCGGTCGGTTTTGAGTGCACATTGGTCGGTTATGAAAAATTGATCGATCGATCTGCCGTAAAAGATCATAAGAAACCAACCGATCGACCGATCCATATATATTAAAAAAAAAACTAAATGTTCAAAATTAAATACACGCTCCTAGGAAATCGAACGGCAAACGCATGCAGTGGAATGCGAGCGCTTGGGGAACCAACGCTTAGGAAACCATATAGTTGGTTGGTTTTTTTTTTTTTTTTATTTCTTATATATGCCAATTACCATGGACCTATGCTTGCTTTGGTTGGTGGCTTGTTTATACAGAGAGGAAAAGAGAAAAAAAAATGCACTAATTGACCAAAAAGCATGTTGGTTTTGGGATTTTTTTTTAATAATGCTATTTACTAAACATATTTCAAAAATATATCAGTAACCAAATTATTTCCAAGAATAATACTTACAAAATAGATAGTCTCTTGGCAACTATGAAGTGACACTTTTTTGAAAAATTTACTAAAAGTATGGCAGAAGAAGAATAAGCTAGAGACGAGTCGGGATCAAGCTGGGACGCGTTGGGGTAGGGCAGGGATGAAAACAGGTGAAGTGGGATGCTGCAAACCAGGAGGGCCGAGGAAGCGGCGCTGGGGGACAGCATCGTGGTGCTGTCCTGTTGTGCGCGCGCGGACGATTCTCCATTTGTAGCACCATGGCACTGTACCATGATTTTATAAAAGTAGCGACTTCGGTTTTAAGTTTTTTCAACCGTCAAAATATAGCAGTTCAAGTATTTTTTTCAGCAGCCAACTTTAGGATGTTTTGGCAGCTGATTAGTAGTGGTGGCTCGGGCATTGGCAGATTAAGGAGATCAAGATCATCGTTATTGGGGCATTGTATCTTGATTATTCTGTGAGTGTTTTCATTCCCATGCCTAAGTATAGTGTTTATAATACTTAGAAGCTAGGGGCTTTTGTCGGGACCTCTAGAGGACAAATATCGGGCGAGATATTTGAGTGTTTTCTATCAAATCTCTACGAATTGCATCTGAGTGGAGGATTGGACGTAGCCCATATAAACTGTTAGGTGAACCAGTATAAATCTTGTGTCGTTTATTGCTTTCCCTATTTTTCTCTTGTGTTGTGTGATTGATGAAGTAACTAGATATAACTATGAAAGGGAAAATTATACAAGGATCGATAATTTCCCAACAGTCTCCTCCAAACATTATTCTTAAAAAAAGTTTGGTTACCGGTATATTTTTAAATAGGTTTAATAAATAGCATTATTAAGAAAAAAAAAAACCCGTCGGTTTTGCCGATTGACATACACCCCTACATTACAGCCTCATTTGCGAATAATCAAATTTGAAGTTATAATTTAAAAGTGATTAAAAATAGTTTGCCGCCACCAAACAAGGCCACAATTCTTTCCAGTACAATAATAATAATAATAATAATTATTAATTATTATTATTATTATTATTGGGGAATGCCAATACAATTCATTGAGATTAAAGAATTAATTACATTTTTTCCGTTGCTTATTTTATTTTATTTATCTTTGGTTCAATAAACATCGGAGAGAAGATCCAACTTTCAATTTTTCAGTACATAATTATTTATCAATTAACATATTTAAAAAGTTTTAAACAGCTAACTACTGCCCATCAAAATTTATACTTTTAATATTTAAACGTATTTACTCGTAATTTCTTTCATCTGTAATCCACTTTGTTATGAAAATATTTTTGTAATCCTATGACAAGATTTATAAAACCAAAAAGAAATTTCCAAACTTTTGTTTTTTATTTTTGAACCTCCGCAAGTCTTTTTTTTTAATAAACAAATTCGATTTAGGAAAAAAAAATATCAAATTGAAATTAATTAAAATGAGATCAACAATTTTCTAGGTTGCTAGTTTTTCCTTTTGTTTTCTTACAATATATATAGCAAACTAGAGTAACTTGTTTCTCAAATTCACTTTTTGAGAAACACATGCCTTTAGTTACTGTTGTCTCTGAAGAAATATTTCTAAAATTGTGTAGAAATTTTAAAAACAAAATCAAGTTTAACGTTGCAAGTTTTTATTTTCATTTTTTTCCAAAAGATAAAAATACTATCTTATAATTTTTTATTCTAAAATGCATAATAAAATTTTTTGAATATTTTATTTAGAAAAGTAAATTTCATATGAAACGTTTACTTGTAAACCTAAAACTTTAGAGATTAAAAAACAAAAAACTGTTCTCAATTAAAAAAAAAAAAGAGAACAAAAAAAACTAGTGACCAAATGTAACTGTCTCTTATTTGTTGAAAAAGAGGAATCGAGTAACCAGAAACAAAAAATGAGAGACAATAAATAATGAACATTACCAAATAGGTCCTGAGACGCTCGTTTTTTTTCCTCTCAAGTATATAATATTACAACCATGGTTTTMAATATCCGTCAACACATTAATATTTCCATCGACATATCTATGTTTCCATAGATTCGACATCGACATGAAGGGTAAATCGACATTTCCGTCATAATACAAGCAAATCGACAAAATATGATAAATATCAACAAAATATCACTAACATATACATAATATTAGTATTAATTATTTTTAACAAATTTAGAAATAGAAAAATGTTTATTTGTTAATTTAAATATTTTTTACGATTTTTTAATTTTTCTAACTTTTACACAAATATCCATCGACATCAAAATTTTATYGATATTTTCATGAAATTGAGACCTCGACATTTTCATCAACATCGACATTTAAAACCTTAATCACAACCATGAAGTAGATATTTGAACTGTCCGACTTACAAAGAAGATAAATATCTCAACTATTAAACTATGCTCGAGTTTAGAAAGATGCTGCTATAATAACAAATACCTTTCGATCGACTCACTTTGTATAAAGGAGGAGAAGAGAGTAGCTCCTAAATTACAAACTAGTGTCTTTCTTTTGAACAAATTCCAACCTAGCTTAAGTCTGCACTAACTTTGCAAAAACATGACTATTATTCAAAGCACAATCAAGTGGTGCTCAGCAAAAGTGAAACTGAGGAGAAAGGCTCTATTTCATTCCAAACCATACATGCTCATTACCCCATTATTACATTATCATAAATGAAGGCTGGCCGCCTGAAAAACTAATTCGACATAACTGACACACAGAAAAAAAAAATGCAATTAAAATTCTTTACTTGTGAAAGAATAAACCTCGTCTTTTTCCTTTTCTTCTCTCACCAGCCTGCAAAGAGCAGCAGCACATTATAACTTAAATCAGAAGACAATGGAGGAAAGCAAAAGGGTAATGTTGCTCATAAGAMAGCAGTAGAAGATGTCAGCTACAACACCCTCAAGCTTGGCAGTTGAAATTGCTCTTAAGCCATTAGGAGGAATTACATTGGTGGTGATTTCTTTTTGTTTATGACGAGAGATTTAGCAGACACTAAAATCTTAAGGGTTATGTTGATTTATATTACATGTTGAAATGAATAGATTGATCCATACTACACGATGTTGATAACCTTTATGACTAATTCATAATTCAAGTCTAGTGAGGAGAGGGAGTGTCCCCAATTTGAGCCCAACTAGGGAATTGGTTAAGTTACGCTCGAGATTAGCCATGTAAAATGAAATATCCTAAAGGATATGAGTTCAACTTTCGAGGCCATGTTCTGTAAGAATATAACTAGCACAAGTCATGAACAAACGTACCGTACTTCACAATTCCTAATGGTGCAAACACGGGCTGGCCGTCTGATGTCCTAGTGCAGAGCACGGTGATTTCAGTTGATTGGATATTCCTAATTCTAACCAGGAAAGAAAATAACTCTCTCTTATATCCACATCCTCTCTCTTTTCTTAAAAGTCTCACAGTAGTTCTCTCTTCTCCCAGTTCCCAAGAATGAACAAACCTAGAGTAAATTCAAATTGCTCAACTTTGTTTCACAAATAGAGAATAAAAGAAAGCTTTCAAACATAATCATTATCAATTTATAACTCCTGGTAGCAAAGGAATTCTGACCAAATGTCTCAAAGAGCCCACTCCATAACTTCTTCAGGAACATAAAGAGGGCCGATAAGTTCTCTAAAGTCTACACTATCACCAGTAACTTCAAAAAATTGTACCAAATACATTGATTTTTCCTGGGGAAGGACAATCCTGGCTTAAATCAGTTCTCTATCAAGAGGACGTATGGTTTTGCAACGTCACCAACTGTATGAGCATGTTCAAGGGAGCATTTGACTCACAGGTAGCATTTGTATAATCTCAAATTTTGAAATCGAGCCTAGTCTGTATTTGATGGGTTCGTTTATCCTATGAGCTTTTCAATGTCATTATCTAAATAACCTCAAAATCTCAAGTCGTAAACTCAGACCTCCTAAAGTCTATGTTTTATGCTACACACCTACTTTACAAGTCACAAGCACACAAATCAAAATACAAACTATATAAATCAGGTTTATGTAATGTGGCTCAGTTTATTAAAACTATGAGTAAAACATCTCTTAAATTTTTTGTTTTGGCCCAAACTTCTCAACTAGACTGATTTTTACCCCAATCATTTTTTTAGCTCCAATCTTCACCCCCAGCCCAACATATACCAAGCAAACTTTCAAGGGAGGATTAGCTTCAGGGTAAATAGAGAGGAAAAAAACGACAGTTTGCCAAATACCAGGAAACAGACCTTCCTTCTTCCTTTCATTTACGGCAAGTTTAAAGAAAAATGAAATTTTTACCTCATCAAAATGAGTCAATTTTTACTGTAACCATCTAGTTTCACTATATTGAAATTTAAGTGTTGCAATTTGTATCTTCTATTAGGCTTCCAGTACAYTCACTCCCTGATTTCAACGAAAGTTGCTTAAAAGTCTCCAAAAACTATTTAATTTCAACAACAAACATTAAAAAAATCAATGTACAAAAGTATTCACGGGACTAATATCCCAAAACTCACAAATTTCAAAAAATCCAGCTCCATTGTTGTCTATACTTTGAAGCCCCATCAATTTTGTAGGCCTTTGTAATTCATTAGATGCACATGAGAATATTAATAATTTAAAGCTTCTTTGAGTGGAAGCCCTATTGAAAAGTAAAAATTGCAACAAGTTTGTCCAATTGGATGTAATTGAAAGTTTAGCATTATAAAGTTCAAGGCTTAAGATTAAAATTCCCCTAATGCTTTTTAGATTTACTTATCCTAGAAGGAGCAAAGAGTAAAAGGGCATGCTCATGGATGGGCAGCAAGCATTAACTTCACCTACCCACCTAGCTACTCTRGGTTTTGGGGATAGGTCCTGACGACACATTTTCGTATTTTGTGTCGAGAGTACTTCACTTGATTTCCTCCACAGTATTGGATTTTGGTGGTATGTATCATGCACTTCTAGGACCAAGACCCTTAAAAGAATCTTTTCCGGCGTGGGTAGGTCAGCTCATCTCATAAGAATGACATTGGGCATTACATGAAGAAAAGAGAAGGGGATTGTGTTAGGTGTTGTAACTAACTAGAGAAATTTTTTTTCCCCGGGTATAGGGGAGCGAAACTCCAACTCCCGATTATCAAAGTATAGAACGGAAATACAACATAAATTGGCTAGGGCAATATGAAAGTAGTATAGAACGGAAATACGAAGTAAATTGGAAGAAGATAAGATCAAGTTCTTTGCATTCTTTTGAAGATACTAAACCCTAAACCTAAGTAAAAAAGATATGTGTGTCACTTAGCTGGCTGAAATAAGACTAAACATCGAACATACAACTAAAATAGACTAAAAGGTGTAAATAACTCTATTTGACTAAACCTAGTTTCAAAGGCTTGATTGTGCATGGGTTGGATTGGATAAGGGAAGTGGATTCAGAAGCCTATTGATCTTCTTTGGAAGGTGGTCGAGAAAAGAAGTTCAATCATCTTCCGGCAACTCATTTCTTGGTCATTGACCCTGCTGTCATTAAAAAACCCCTGAGAGTTATAATTTTTTGTAGTACAGCTGAACATATAGCAATTTGGTCCAAAATAATAGAAAATCTAGTGTAAGCTAAAAATATTTGCAAAGATGGCAAAATCTACAAAAGAAACCATCACCATATCTCAACCCCACATGTCTATTGGTAATGACAATGATAGACGTATGATATATCCTATTAGTRTAGGCCCTATTAGTGAAACATTGATAGACATGTGATAGACCCTATCAGACACTGGAACTACAAGATTCCATATTTGTAAAACTAAAATCTTATTTATATTCGCAAATATGGCAAAACTATTTGCACACTAATTCTTCATTTTGATAGAGCCTATCAGACACTGGAACTACAAGATTCCATATTTGTAAAACTAAAATCTTATTTATATTCGCAAATATGGCAAAACTATTTGCGCACTAATTCTTCATTTTTTCTTTTGTCGTACATATATATTCATAGATATTTATACTTTCAAATCTAATGATATCCCATTAGATTTCCTTCAATAAAAGATTTCTCCTAAAAAARGAAAAGAAATGGGAACATAAATTATATCCCATTACTGTTAAGCAAATAACTGGACATAAAAATGAGAAGTCATACCCTTATAATGAATAGTCTCAAGRTCAGCACAATGGTATCTCTGAAACTGCAAAATCAAACAGAATAGAAAATATATATATAACTGAAAACAATGTAATTGAAAATATTACGTTCTAAAAAATAGTTACATTTCTATAGTCAGAGTCAGAGCTTGATCTAATGCACAACCAAGAAAACAAATGCCGTAATAGTTACACTTGTGATACAGTAATGTCGAATTGGAAAGTCTAAATTTTCTTTATCCAACAACTTTGGGTCACTAGACCAATTTAACATGGTTCAGAATAATGGTCTTGAATTCAAACTTCTGTAAATTTTAAAATAATAATCTGTGTCATATCATATATGAGCCTGTAAGGAGTATGTTTCCTTTGAACATTTGTTTCTTTGAACATTTGTTTCTTTTCTGTAAATTCCATAAGGAGTGTCTTGAATTCATGGAGATTCATAACAAAGGAAGAATTTTCAGTATGGCAAGAATGGTTCAATAAAGTCAAAGATTAAAGCTTCGTATTGGTGTTTTCTATCTCCTTTATTTGCAAATTATTTTTATAAGTATGAATTGGAGGGCTKTTATTTTCCCCTGCAGTTTATTTCTTTTGATTTTTCTTTTCACTCCTGAACATCTGGTTTCTTTTAATTAATCAATAAAAAAGGTTCATAAGAGCATATTAATATCCATGGGGTATTTCAAAACCAATTGGAAATGAGAATAATAGCTCGTGTCCATTATAAACCTTTGTTAGGTCCCTTGTCTTTTCAACGTAGGATCCTTAACATGCCCCCTCAAGATAGTGTCTCTTTTGGGTTCACCAATCTTAGGCAAGATCTCATTTTTGGATCGGACGCTCATTTGAGCTTTTAGGCTCGGATACCATATTAATATTCATGGAGTTTCATCTCAAAACCAATTCGCAATGTGAGGAGTATCATGTCTATTATAAGTGGAAAGGTAAATATAGCTGGTGTCCTTTAAGAGAAGCTTCCTGGACATAATATTTTGCCATCAATCTGTCCCCTTTGCCAATTTAACGGAGAAAGCTTGATCCACATCTTTTTCCCTTGCCCTTTTGCTCGACAGTGATGGGAACTCACTTTCGAGGAGTTTAATTTGGCTTGGGTTTTTGGCAATGCGACTGCAGATAATGTCCATCAGCTACTTCTCGGACTAACCTTAAATCCTAAAGCCAATCGGCAATCTCCTTCGACTTAATGCTATAAAGGCAGTACTTTATGAGTTATGGTTGGAGAGAAACCTCATAACCTTTGAAGGAAAAAGACCATCTCCGACAGTGCGCTTCAATCTAGCTAAGTTTAAAGCTTCTCAATGGTGTTCCTTGTCGTCGTTATTTAGAAATTATTCTCAAAGCTTGATTTGTTCTAATTGAGGATCCCTTATTGTATTTTGTTAAGGTTTTGTTTTTATTTCTAATCTTTCACTCTTTCAAAGTGTTTGTTTCCTTGAACATTATTGTTCGTTTTCATAATTTCAATGAGAAATTTGTATCTTGTTCAAGAAAAAAAAAATCTATTATAAACCTTGTTAGGTACCTTAGGTACCTTATCTTATCGATGTGGAATCCTTAATTGAGGATAATGCATGGCTCACTACTCAAGAAACTCAAGCAACATAAAATTTGTTCTTTAAATATTAATGAAAAAATTTATTTCCTTTTCTTTTATTCTCTCTCTGGGATCTGGAAACAGAGGAACAAATTAATTTTAGAGAACATACATTCTGATTTCCTACTCACCAGCTTATATCTGCAGAATTGTTTTCTGCTCGCAAGTGATGCTCAACATTGTTAGAACCAGTTATTACGAACTCAAAAGGATGTCCAAATGGAATCGATACCTACAACGAATGAAATATACATAATCTTAAATGTGAGAGAATAATAATATTCTGATATATTCAAATTGTGCAACCTAGGTCTTCTTATACAGGAGAAAGACCCACTACAACATAAGGAAAAAAAATAAAAAACAAAAAAGACCGAATATTGACAACTAATATTTACACAAAAATATTTGTAAATATTAAAATTCCAACAATAAAAGCTTATAATGGAAAGAATAATCAATGTGAGAACTTTTTTTAAAGATGAGATGATTGTGTTAACAAAAAGTAATAGCAAAGAAGAAAGCAGGCTAGATGCCAACCCCAACGGAAGGTAGTGAATCTACCAAAAAGAAAAGAAAAAATAAAAAACTTCTTGTTCACAAAATCTAGAAATAAATAAATTGGAATTACACAACTGTAAACTTTCAGTCAGGAGAGTATACTGAAGTACACGGTTGTAAACTTTCAGTTAGGAGAGTATACTATAGGTTTACTTAGGTTATTAACTTCCAAAATTCAAGCATAAGCTGAGATGATCAGTAAATGGCGTGGCTGTTTATGGGGACCTCCCCCCAAGAAGAATGGACGGAACTAAGCAAGAAATCCTTGCAAATCCAAACCAAGACTTCATCTATGAAAGTAGAAGGGACACAGAAGAAAAAAGGCAAAGTCAAAAGAATCAAGGAAGGAATAATCATAAATTCTTTAGAGAATCCAGAAGTGAAGACTACTTGTCCGGATAGGACAGGATCTTAATATTTTAATACTAATTGGTCCTGGATTTTCATTCCAAAATGTCCAAAGGGGGAAAAAACCCGCAAAAATCAGATTCTTGAACAACGGAAAAAGATCAAATTGCTTTTGGCCTTAAAGATACCACAAGCCAAATGTTCCACATAAGAACTTTAGTCGAGAAGTCTCAAAGCACCTTTTTCTCCTCCTTAGATGGRCTGCCACCAAGAGTAAAATACAGAAAAGCTTTGTTAGGGAAGGGGCAGAAATAGACCAACTAAAAAAGTTTAGCAGATGGCCCCAAAGTCCTGAAGCAATTTTTCAATGAAGGAAAAGATGGTATTTCTCCTCCCCATTCTCCATGCACATAATACACGAGCCAGTAGAAAGATCAAAACTAAAAATCCCAATCATAATGTGTAATGAGGCACGTGTTTGTGGTAACAAACAAATATATATGTGCTGGCCAGCCTCAGAATGAAAAATTAAGTAGAGATGTTATGAACTTCTAGTTCTTTCAGACAAGTTTAATATTTTGATAGCACATTACAAAACATACTCTTTCAATGAACAGTTCAACCCAAACATGAATGCAAAAATTTGGGCAAAAATCCACTAATCTCGTGACAACTGCTAGATAGGTACACTACTATTCCACCAATAACCTTGCTGTCATTGACAAGSATACAGAATTACGTCATAAAAATATTTTGGACAATTGAAAATGGCTTAGCTTTTCATACRGTCTATGAAAAAAGAAGAGGAAACCAAGGACCGTACAGTTGTATTTGTTGAAAACTTTTCAGTGATGGCATCACCACTAGGTCCGCTACATTTTATACTGTATCCTTCCCTTTTGATAGATAGTGTAGCCGGTTCCCATATATCAAGATATCCAGCCTGTCATGGAGTAAAAATAAAGAAAGCAATTAGGTTGGTTAAGATTCTATTATAAATTTGGGGCCATATGTGCGTTCATGTGCACGCAGGTACAAACACATATAAGACGAGCAAGTAGTGTAAATAAAATCACAAATTATTTTCATTTAAGCCATACCGAGATGGATACTTTGTATGAAGCATGACCACTATAAAGAGTCTTCTCTATGTGGTTCTGCATTTCAGGTTCTGTTGAGAGACAAAAGGAACTGTAAGTTATCTCACCGTAATTGATACTTCTATGATAGTCATTATACAGAACTTCAATCTTCTCTTTCATCAAAAAGACATTTATGATAGAAAACAATTATAGAACTTAATATTGTAACTTTTTACATAAACGAAAAGTTTGTTTATATATATAATWATAGAAAACTAACACTCAAAAGGATAAAGATCCCCTATCAGAATTTTGGAAAGCTTTCGAAATGCAATGTGTCCAAGGATTTTCAAAAAAATAGAAGGCAGCAGGGTTTTTTTTTTTTTTGGTTGAAGTTGGAAGGTCATTCTTATTAAAAAGCAGCAGGGCATGATTGGATTTTTCGTGGAATCCAGTAGTTGAAGTTGTCATTTGAAATTGAAAGGTCATAGGTGCTTGAAATTTCCATTGGTGTCAATTTAGAAGTCGTCATAGGTTTTTTTAATGCTCTGCCTCGGTTTTCAAGTCTAAAGGCATCAAGTTTTGAAGTCTYGGTGCGTTTGGTTATTTCTTCTAYGGGACTCTTAAATTTGGCTTTTCAATCTTGATGGAATTTGAAGAGTTGTCAGGTTGAAGTTTTGAATTTTTGCCCCATTAAATAGGCATTTTAGTTTTAGCAAGTTATTTTTAAGGAAAGAGTTGAAGGTTTTTCATATTCAATTATCAGTCTTCCCTTTTGGGGGCCCCGAGCTTATTAACTCTTTGATTTTATTCTCGATTTGTGGCAGCATCAAGAAGAATTTGAAAAGTTTGTTGATTTTTGACAACATCAAGGAGTATTTGAAAGGCTTTTTTCAGAAGCATCCTCTTTCTGCCCTTCATCTCCTTTTTATGAGGGGAATTCATTTTTTTTAACAAGATACGAACTTTTCATTGATCGATGAAAAGGAACAAAAATGTTCAAAGATACAAACTCCAAAGGAGCGATCAAAGAGGAAAAAGAAAACAAAAAAACAAAATCACCAACAACCAAGAATCTCCACTAAGGGGGAGTTATAAAGGTCTCCCAATTCATACAAATCATACTTGGAGAATAATTAGAGAATAGATCGAGAATAGAACACCATCGAGAGGCTTTGAACTTGGCTATAGTAAAACAATCCAAGAAGGATCTACTCTTGCCTTCAAAAACCCACCTATTCCTTTCAAACACAATTATGAGATGAGAGCTTTAAAACCATTAATCCAAAGCAGATTGGCTACATGGAATCGAGCACCACAAAGAAGCTGAAGGATGTTGTTGGATACCTCCAAGTCCCAAACCCAGAGGAGATTGAATGGAGTGAAGAAAAGATCCCAACAAGCAGCCGCATAAGGAYAAGAGAAGAACACATGCCTCTGAAACTCTCCACTGGCAGCACACATCAAACAAACTGAAGGCTGCAGAACCATAAAGGGCAATTTCTTTTGAAGAATTTCTGGTTTATTGACTTTACCAACAAGAAGAATCCATGTCAAAAAATTGACTCTTTTTGGAATATTCGAATTCAGGACAGAATAAACGTCCTTGGGAAAAGTTGAAACAACTGCCCCAATCTTTCCTAAAGAATTGACAGTGAAAACGTCCGAGTTTTCCAAATGCCAAARCCGAACATCCTCTGGCTCACTAAAAGAAATCGAAGAAAGTAAGGATAAAAGATTTGCCAACTGAACAATCTCCTCATCTTTCAACGAACGTCTAGTTTGTAATCTCCAACTAGACACATTTCTGTCCCACGCATCAGCTACCAAAATTGAAGGGGCCGAGGAAATTCTAAAGATCTGGGAACCAATCTTTCAGCAAAAGGTCTCCTTGCCAAAAAAGGATTCTTATACCATTTCCAGCTTTGAAGTGAGGGTAGATCTACTCCTGCTGCCAAAATTTAGAGATCCTAGTCCAAGGACTTCTACCTGAACTAGGCAAAGTGCTCCACCGTGCGTGCGCATGTGCACACAGGTATGTTCTGTTTAGGCAAATAGCCAGCCATATCACGTGTCAAGTTTGAGATCCTAACAGAACACCTCCTCAGGAACTATTACGAGCAAAGGAAATACTGAAAGACTTCATGAAACATGTAGTCCAAGCACTCCAAGGCACATTTACAGAAAACACTCCACTCAGACCTGACAACATGGAGGAAGCCCTTTGCATCAAATTGATAGTTTTACTCTTCCCATATGTGACTTGCCGAATAAAAAATATAACCTTCTTTGGGCCCTCCCCTTCCGCAACAAAATGAAAACAAGAGCCACACAAGAAGGAAAATAAGGAGCGAAAAAACCACCATAAATGTAGGGGTTCCACGAACTTATCTTTGAGAGCCAATAAAAATAGAACCCCTTAATGACGAAATCAAAGAGGAGATGTCAAAAGCTTCCCTGTTTGATAGGGAACACATAAAATCAAAGTTAAAGGAAGCAAAATCCCATGAAGCAAGAATGACATGGTTATAGGAGCAAATTTCAAAGAATACAAGGAATAAAGACAAGAAGAAAGAAGCCAAAAAAGGGACTCTCCTAACCAACAATTTTAAAGAGAAAATGCCCTTTTGGTCCTTGATATTTCGCTTATGGGTCATTTTGGTTTCAGAGTTCTAAAAAGTTGCACTTTAGGCCCTGCGTTTTGAGAAATAGGTTTAAAGGTCCTTTCACCAACTGAATTGTTAATCCCTTGTCACTCAAACTTTGCCCCTACGTCTTCCATTGATGAGAAAGAAGTTAACATTCCTCGTGCAGTTCCAAATCCAAACTCTCCACTTAGTGCCAAAACTTTTCTTCCACAAGACCTTGTCCAAGAAATTTCAATCTACACCCTTAAAAAATAATAATAATTGTTAGAGTATAGATATTTTAGTATATTTTATATTCTTGTATTAATATTAATTTGTCCTTTACCTTCTCCWTATAGGATTAGGTCAACCTTGTATATTTGTCTATATATATAGACTTTAATAATGAGAATACAGAACATTGGATTCTCTCCAATCTTAGTCTCTACATGGTATCAGAGCTTTAGGTTTTGTGCCCATTAGGACTTTGATGCCCATTAGGGTTTTTTGCCCATTAGGGTTTTGATGCCCATTAGGGTTTTGTTAATTGCTATCCAACTCAACTCACTACTGCCGCCGCCGCCGCCGACCACTGCCGCCACCGCCGCCGTTTGCTAATTCCCCAGCGCTGCTGTTTTCCGATTGCTGTTCGTGGGTTTCGTCTCACCGCCAATCGCCGTGTGCTTTCGTCACCGCCAATCGCCACCCGTCGCCTTCGCCCTTCTGGTTGTCGTGGGGTAGCACTTAGGGTTTCTGGGTTCAGAAAACACCTAATCCGATTTGGTTCCAGCAATTTGATTCATCTGTTTTGTTTGGTTCGGGTGGTTTGGTCTGGTTCTGTCGTTTTGTTCAAATAAGTTCGTTTGTTTGTTATAGCTGAGAAGAAATCAATCGTAACTTCTGAGGTAATCCCAATGATAGCAAAACACAAGTTGAATGGAGCACGAATAGATTATTTGTCTAACAAGTTGGGCATGATTAATATATATGCACCAACTTGAGGGGGAGTGTTAGAGTATAGATATTTTAGTATATTTTATATTCTTGTATTAATATTAATTTGTCCTTTGTCTATATATATATATAGACTTTAATAATGAGAATACAGAACATTGGATTCTCTCCAATCTTAGTCTCTACAATAATAATAAATAAATAAAAAATAAAAAGCCTTTTTCCCAGGGTTTTTTATTCTTCCCAAATTCCCAGTCACTAGGTTTCAAAACGATAAAATGAAATGGGTTATGCACTTATGCTGAAGGTAAAACCAAGATAGGTAGTATGCAAAGTAGAAACCTCACACCCTGCAACAAATGCCCATCTAACCTACTTTGATGATTCACAATTAATATCCAGTATCGAACTTTTATCCCTATTGATCTTGAGGTCTAWAACTTTTTATAGTATTGAAAGTAGGCACAACCTTGGCAGTACCAAAGTGAAGAAGAAGTAACTCAATGCGAGGAATCAAAAGACCAAAACCAAAACACAAAAAACAATTGCACCATAAATTTAGCAAAAAAGAAAAGGAGGCCGAGTTTCAATTGTTTTGCAAGATCATGCTTAAATTTCTTTGATCTTGTAGAGTAATTCTACTAAGGCTTGATGGTTTATACACAGATTTTTCCATTCTTTTGTCAATTTTTGGAGCCCACAAGTTCTGCTGGAGATGTATATTTTTTCCACTACTCATAACATTTACTTTTTCCACTATTTAATGAAACTAAATATGCTTTGGAGAGGAGTTGAGAGAACAACACGTAGTCGTAGCATCTCAAATCTATCCACCAACATACTTACCACAAGTAATCTTTCGGTGCTCATTGGCAAATACCTTTACAAGCTCTCCCTGCAAAGGAAAAAGGATGCAAATTATTAATAGGACAAAGAGCAAGTTGCAGGCAGAATCGAACTCAGGGCTCCCTGACCACACTCATTTCTCTCATGGCATGGACTATGCAAATTAAACCAATCAGAGTGAACTTCATATTTTCCCCCCCCAAAAAAAAAAAGAAGAGTGAACTTCATGGCTCGTTTACTGGTGATATAAATTCTGTTGCAAAAATAATAGTAGCTCATGAACGTAATCTGAGAATGAAAAATCTAGAGATTGGAGGGACTGATTTGACATACCCAAGATCACGTCTTCCCATTGGAGTTCTTTATCATGCTTGTCTGATAATTACTCTTTCAACGATAATTGTTTTAATTAGGAAACATTTATTTCCCATTGTTTTTTCTATTTCCTTTTTTTAAATAAGAAATCAGATAAGTATTCATTATCCACATTTTATTTCCCCTTGTTAGATTCTGCTTTAGTTTTTGCTCTTTTTCCATTGGAGTTCTTGATCTATTATGGCTCCTTCTAACTCAACACAGAGAAATTGAGGTTTCTTCATACACATAGAATGAACTTGACAACTAACTTCCAAGTTTCTGGCCAAAAGACAGTAAAATTGAAAACATAAAAGAGAGGAGGCGTGGTGGAGGGATGTGAGTGTGGGTTGGACAAGGTATTCTGGTATTTACTAGTGTTCCTAGTGAAAAATAGTTTGAAATTAAGTGAGTGAATCAGATACTTCCTTTTTTTCTTTTGGTGATAGATGGGTAAAACAGATACTTAAAAATTCATTAAATATATTTATTGTGAGTCRGATGCTACACCTTGCGCCTTCTGTTATCCAAAGGTTGTACTTCAATAGCTAGATAGGTGTCAACATCATCTGCAGTAACGCGATAGTTTGGTTGCTTTGCCCCTATTATTTAAAATAACATAAGATTAAAAAAATTATATATGTGTGTGTGTGTGTGTTAGGAAAAAAATGTATCGCACATGGAAGAAGTGATACAATACCTTCAATGTAATTAACAGATCCATCCTCCAAATGCCGTACCCACTGCAATTTGAAATCAAGGGGCATTAAATACAACATGATAGTTAAGTGGCTCAATATTAATTCTTGAACTTAGCAGCCTCATATATTTTATGGCTCCTAACATTCCATAATTGARGTGTAACAGAAGCATATCTGGGAGCACCATTTGACAGCGTCATGCATGGGAAATGAGATAGGGTGAAGCTATTCTTGTCTTTGGGCTGACACTAGAGCACTTTAACAGGTTGGATTTGGATTTTTTATTAAATTTTTTAATACATAGAGGACATCTCTAATTTATTTTAAGATTTAGAGTTAATATGTGATCCAAAAGTTGTAAAAAGGGAGGAACAGAGAAGACCATCTCTAAGTCGCATAGTTAGGGATGTCATAAGTTTCTTGCTTGTAAGATTTCACCTATTTAATAAATTCTATTTCTCAAAATGATAAAAGATAAATACTTTGAAACACGATTTATCCCTGATCATTGTAAAGTTACAAAAATATAGCAACATAACATTTTTTTTTAACAAGATACAAACTTTTTATTGATAAATGAAAAGGAACAATATTGTTCAATGATACAAAGTCCCGGTAGGAACATAATATAAGAAACTCCCCGTAGAAAAATAAATCTCAAGAACTACCCCCTTCTCTCAGAAAATTAAGAAAATCCTTAACCCATCAAAATTTGAAAATGCTTCCCAATTTGAATAATTACATTATAGTGATAACTGCAAACGAACTTTCTTTCATTCCACATGCACCACACCAAAGCTATTATAGCATTAACCCATAAAATCTTAGCTTTACATTTAAATTTCACACCATGAAGAAAATGCAAAATACTTTCATTTGAGCTTCACTAAAATCCCAAGAAACACTGAATAATTTGAATATGTCATCTCAAAATGTCATCTCAAAATTTGAATAATTACATTATAGTGATAACTGCAAACGAACTTTCTTTCATTCCACATGCACCACACCAAAGCTATCATAGCATTAACCCATAAAATCTTAGCTTTACATTTAAATTTCACACCATGAAGAAAATGCAAAATACTTTCCTTTGAGCTTCACTAAAATCCCAAGAAACGCTGAATAATTTGAATATGTCATCTCAAAATGTGGACAAAGCAAAGTTATGCATCCATGATCCAACAAATTTAGCTACTAAAAAAGCAACTTTTTACTTTAACGTTTATCTCAAGAATGTCAGTTACCAAGAATAGAAAAGATTGAAACAAGGTATAATATTGGGTTCGTGAAGATGAACCTCAAAATTACAGCTAGTAGTTCCATTAATTGAGTATCCACATGCTTGGAGCTCTTGTCCTGGAAAAGCTTCACCAGATATTTGGAGGGCTTCAATAGCAGGCAATGGATCATCATCTGAAGCCAAAAGTGAATCCCATTTAATATGAACTATTTAAGACTGACATGCTAACAACAAAAACAGGGAGGAAAATATTTGCCTTCAGAAAATGAAGGTGAAGGTTCCTCAAGGACTGGAGGCAGAATTGGAGAATGAGATGAGCTTGGCTCGTCGAGAGTGGCAACAGGGGGAGATTCCCGAGAACTCCAGTTGGTGAGAGGATCTCTATCTGTTTGGTGTACAACATCCGGGTCATCCATCTCACTGTTGCTTACAGGTTCACGAAATGTCACCTGTTTGTTTGTTGCTTCACTGTAACGTGGGCCAGGTAAATTATCAGAAGTAAGTTTTAAAGGAATAGTGTGAAGAGCATCAGTAGGAACATAAGCAATGAAAATCAATGTCATTCAATACAATTTTTTAAGATATAAACTCCCGGAGGGAGTCGAGAAAACCATTAAAAACAATACAAAAGAGAACAAACRAAAAGACAATTCAAAATTAAGTGAAAACCAATCTGTGAAGAACCATAGGCTTGCTCATGAAGAATGATAACACAGCAGCCAAAACAAATCTCCGATCAGGGAAGAGAAGAAATCATACTCCAATTCCCACTCAAAAAGCAAACTCCAACCTTCTTTTGGATCTATCTTCTTCATAAAGAGCTAAATTTTTTAGCCTAAATTCATGGCCGAAATTCAAACACCAAATCTTGCAATTCTTCTAAAATCATGGCCGCAAAGAAGAATAGATATAATAACAAAGTCCTCAAAATGTGAATCAACCCAATTGAGCTCTCTAGATGAAAAATGCTGAAATGCATAATGAAAGTCCTCAATCTCCTTAAGGCCTTCATTCTCCTTGAAGAACAAAGGACCCAAATTTGAATTCAAAGCTCAATTGAGGCACTTCCTCAAAAACTGCCTTTGCAATTCAAAAGCACTTTCTTTTCTCCTTGGTTGGTGTGTACCTCTTTCTTTTCTCCTTTTCAATTTTTTCAAAATCCACTCACATCCCCAAGGCCAAAGCCTAATTCTCCATAACTATTTTGTTCTTTTTCTTTTCTTTTCTCTTTTCCTCAAAATTAAACTCTCTCCCAAATCATTCTTCTTCTCCTCCTTTATTTTTCTTCATTCTTCTTCTTCTCCCTTCTCCTTTATTTTTCTCCATTATTCGGCGCAGTTTTGACTTCTTCATTTTTTAAAATTCGGTTTCGGTTTCGGTTTGACTCTCAAACCGTGAACAACCCTACCATGCATTATTCAAGTGCTTGGAAATGTTTGTCCGAGGGCAACGAGAGCAACTATTAGCAAAACCAACTATTATGGTTCCGAACCAATTGAAAGGATCGGAACCATAAATACTATCTATCACCATGCGCCAAAGGGCATGAGGTTCATGGCAAAACCTCCATCCCCACCTTCTACATGGCAAGACCACCATTTTCTGTATGAGCTGCAACCGAAAGCCAATTGGCTAAATACTTCAGTTTTCCTTCACTATGACCTTCCTAGAAGGAGGCTCTTATAAGCTTTTCCATTTGCTTTCGTATAGGCACCGGCACTTGGAACAAAGACATATAGTAAAGTGGAAGGTTGTTCAAGACTACAGCACAAAGTGTCATTCTCCCTCCTTTTTTTTTATAAGAAACAATTTCATTGATGTACCTACGAAAAAAGAACCCTTCAATGGTTCTTTATCCGTCCATTTGTTCATTGTACGGCAGTTCTTGTTGTTCACTCTTTGTTAATTGGTCTGAGGCTTGCACCGAAGGCGGGTCTTCTTTGGCGCAATGGAGTCAAAGCTTTGTTGTCCGACATTTGGTTTGTAAGGAATCAAATGATTTTTTAAGAGAAAAGAAGAGCTTCAATTGATGTTTTCAACTTAGCCAAGTTTAAGACTTCTCAATGGTGTGCTTTTTCTAATTTATTTGTTAATTGTTCTTCGAATATAATTAGTTCAAACTGGGAGGCTTTTATAACTCCCCCTTAATTTTTGTTTCTGTTGTTTATTGTTCGTTCACATTTTCACTCCTTCAGGGGTTTGTATCTCTAAACAATTTTCTGTTCCTTTTCATTATATCAATGAAAAGTTTGTTTTTTGTTAAAAAAAAATAAAATAAAAATTTGATGTATGAAATTACAAAAAAGAGGGGAGGTAAATAAAACCCCAAAAGCCAATGGAGTTACATGGAACTTCTCCAATTGGTTAAAAGTGTAACCATACTATATGAGTAAAAAAGTGAAGATGTTTTACACCAAGACAYAGCAAGGAAAATGATATTGTCAAAGAGCCTAACGAAAGCTAGATTCTTTTCGGTGAAGAGTCTAATGGTTCCTTTCATTCCGAAATGTCCACAAAAAAGCTCTAATGATGTGCTTCCACATGATCGCCTTTTCATTCTTGAATGGGTGGCCGGCAAGAACATAAGTGAGCAGAAGCTTAACATCGTTTGGGAAGGCAACTTTCCAATTGAAAGCAGGAAGGATCTCATTCCTAAACTTTGTTGCAATGGGGCAAGTGAGGAAGAGATGAGGTTGTGTTTCCTCATTTCTTTTACAAAAGATGCACCATTGGGGAGAGAGGGTAAGAAATGGTAACCTCCGCTGAATTTTGTCATTTGAGTTAATGGCCTTATGAGCAAGCTCCCAAGTGAATAATTTAATCTTTAATGGGTAGGTTTCACCCATAGTCCATATTAACTTTTGCAAGGGAGGAGGAGGTGTAAGAGGCCTTTTTTGTCAAGTCTGTGAGGAGAGATTTGGTTGTAAATTTCCCCCTTTGTTCTAGATGCCAAAACCAAGTGTCTTCGACAGAACTAAGATGGATGGAAGATAGATGGTTGGAGAGAATAACCCATTCTTCTATGTCTCCTGAAGCCCAAATTCCAAGAACCAAGGTTGCTGTTCCATACATCCATCACTGTTGTTTTCTTTCTAAGGGAGACGGTGTATAGATGAGGGTAAAGAGAGGCCAAGGGGGTGTTGTGTAACTATGCGTCAGACCAAAAGGATGTAGATGTCCCATTTCGAACATGACTGGTTATACACGATCATAGCTGAGATTTTTTTTGATATGAAACAAATATTTCATTGATGGTGTGAAATATACAAAAGGCCACATGGGCAATTACAAAAAAGCCTTCCAGCTTGTAATAAGTTCATTTAACGAGTAGCTATTGAAGGGGGTAGAAACATTTACACCAACCAAGAGCTAGAGTAGTAACCCTATCAAAAAAGATGTTAAAAGGGAAGCGCTTTGTCGTTGAAGACCCTATTGTTTCTTTCCAACCAAAGACTCCAATGGAAGGCCCGAACAAACTGGATCCACAAGATCATTATTCCTTTCTTGAAAGGATGACCTGCCAAAAGTTGATCAAGGAAGATTGTTGGTTTGTTGTGTAGTAGTGTCTTCCATCCAAATGTAGAAAGGAGATMATTCCAAAAATGATTTGCATATATGCAACGAATAAATAGGTGGCCCTGTGTCTCTGATGCATCCAAACAGAAATGGCAGCAGCTTGGGGAAAGGGTATAAAATGGAAGTTTTTTCTGGACCCTATCATGAGTGTTGATCGCCCATGACTAAGCTCCCAACAGAAAAATTTTACTTTTCTAGGGCATCTCCCTTGCCAAATCCAAGGGAAAAAAGTAGTGGTCGATAAGGTTGTGTTTGTAGTGAGGATACGGTAGGCCGATTTTGTGGAGAAGGTACTATTGGTTTCAAGGGGCCAAAACCATTGGTCAGCAAGGGAGGTGGGCTTGTTTTCAGAAAGGATATGGGAGAGGTCCATCCAATCAGTAAACTCCTCCTTTTTGAGATGTCTTCGGAAATTGTATTCCCAGGAGGATGTGGTTTGTGACCATAGATCAGAGATAGTGGCCGCCTTGTTTGATGAAATGGCATAGAGGCTTGGGAAGAGGCTGTCCAAAGAGCCTTGAGAAAGCCATTTATCGTGCCAAAAGCTGAGCCGACTCCTTTTCCCCACTCTACAAGTAGCATAAGTCTTGATGATGCTAGTTTGTTTGTAGATTCCAGTCCATGGTCCCCTATGCAAACTGTTTTTGATGGGTGGCCATATAACAGAGAGAGATCCACAATATTTAGCCGCAATGAGCCTCCTCCATAGCTGTGTAGGTTCAGTGATAAATCTCCAAATCCATTTCGATAATAAGGCTCGGTTCCTATGAATGATATTTCCAACACCTAGGCCTCCTTCGTCTAATGGCAGTTGTGTACGGGTCCAATTGATGAGATGTGGTTTACCATTTAAGCTTGGTCCTTCCCACAGAAAGTCTCAATCCACCATGTCGAAAGCCTTCTCAAGGTCAAGTTGGATAACCACACCCTCTTCTTTTCTCACTTTCCAATCATCTATAATTTCATTTGCAATGAGTGAAGAGTCGAGGATCTGCCTACCTTCAACAAAAGCAGATTGGTGATCGGTAATGGTGTGGGGCAACACCCTTTTGAGTCTTTCAGATAAGACACGAGCGAGGATTTTATACGCGCAAGGTATGAGGCTGATAGGTCGGAAGTCATGGACTGTTTTTGCTTGTCTCCGTTTGGGGAGGAGGCAAATATAGGTATCATCGGGCGAGGATTTTATACACGCAGGGTATGAGGCTGATAGGTCGAAAGTCATGGACTGTTTTTGCTTGTCTCCGTTTGGGGATGAGGCAAATATAGGTATCATTGAGAGCTTCATTGATGATTCCTTTTTGGAAAAAATCTTGGAACATTGCCAATAAATCAAATTTGATAATGTTCCAGGATTTTTTGAAAAATTCTGCAATGAAACCGTCTGGCCCCGGAGCTTTATCATTGCCAAGGCAGCCGACCGCTTTGTAAATCTTTCCTCCGTGAAAGGGAGCTCCAGCCAAGTGGAGTTTTCGTCTGTGATAGGGTCCCATGGAAGGTTGCTGGGGCAACATCGCTGTCCGGGTTTCTTGGTATAGAGGGTTGTATAGAAATCAATAAATTCCTTCTCAATATCCACAATTTGCGTAAGGCTATTACCTTCCCTTGAGAGTATTTCAATAATGGTGCTTCTTCTCCTTTTATTTGCAAGGAACCGGTGGAAAATTTTGGTATTTTCATCCCCCTCATGAAGCCACTTTTGCTTACATCTCTGCCTCCAGTAAATCTCTTCTTTAGCAGCCAGAGAGAGGAGATCCTCTCGGATAGTACTTCGCTCTAGATCTTTGGCCGGGGAAAGGGTGTGGGCGCCTTCCATCTCATCTATAGAGGACAGGGCTTTGATGAGCTTATCCTTTTGGGAATGTATACACCCGAAATGCTCCTTGTTCCACAGCTTCAAAGCAAACTTCAAGGATTTGAGCTTCATCATCAATCCATGACCCGGCCATCCATGGATGGGATTGTTGTTCCACCAAGACTCAAGGAACGGCTTGAAAGATTTGTGTGCGAGCCACATATTCTCAAATCTGAAAGGAGTAGGGCCACAATTTGTCTGACCGAAATCCAAGAGAATAGGGAAATGGTCAGATGTGGTTCTGTCTAAACATTTAGCAAAGGGCATCCCAAGTTTGTCAGCGCAGCCTTTAGTTAGGAGAAAACGATCAATAAGAGACAGTGTTTTAGAGGCGCACCCAGGCGAGCGCCTAAGGCGAGGGGCGAGGCGATTTCGCCTGGGTGCGCCCTGAGTGGTGCCAAGGCGACCACCTTCAACCGGGAGCTCGCCTTGGCGCGCCTCACTGCGCCTTGGCACGCCCTCGCTTTGTCCTCTCTTCATCTTTTGTTTATTTTCATGATGAGGTGGGTTTTTATCAAGTTAAAATGATTTAAAATTTAAAAAAAAAAGAAGATATATGCGTCCGCCTTCAACCAGGCGCTCATAATCTTAATAACAAAGGAAAGCTACTCAAATCTCTTAATAACAAAGAAAGCTTCAGTAAACTCGTGCTGTAAATAAGAGAAGCAAATACAATGAGAACCTTTTCAATTTCTGAACCATCAAAGAGGGAGAAGGGAATAATGTCCTCTTGGGAATCTGAACCATCAACCCATGACTGCTCCATGAACTAATTAAAAGGAAGTCTACAAACAGACTTTTCRAATTCTGCGACAAGATTGCTAATGTGACCATTACGGTAAAACTCCTCAAACATTCTTAGAAAATCCGATATGAGAAATGACCTCTACTGTGAACTTTGCACCAATTAAAGCCATGTATAAGACTCTTATCATTGAATGTATCGAAAAAGAGAGATTTGTTACCAAATGTGTRGTGGTTCCCTTCAATCCATTGTGTCTAAGAAAAACTCTCACTACCTGCACCCATAGGATCTCGTTTCCTCTAGTGAAGGGATGACTCACTGAGATTGATGAGACAAGGGCTCTCATATTAGCTGGGAGAGGAGCCTGCCCACCCAAGGTTAAAAGGAAGGTACCCAAAATTGCTAGAATTGGACCATGCTTTATTTTGAGGCTGACAAAAACCAAAATCTTCTATKTTTTCAATGTGATTCAGTTACCATTGCTAGAATGCTCTGTTTGGGGGGCTTAGAATGAGTTGGGTCAGACATTTAATGCTTAAGCTATTGAGAAAACAGGAAAAACTAAACAGGTGAATGTAGTTGGTGCACGCTTGTGTGAGCTGTGGCTTCAGTGAAATAATAGAATATTTGTGGGAGAAAGGAAGTTTTTGGTTTGTGCTAGATGGTATACAGCAGAAAGCATGAAGTGTTACACACCTCTTCAGCATTAGGTTTAATGGGAAAGGGAAGTTTTTGCAGGTGCATGTGTACTGTGCGACTAATAAAGAGAATTAGGTAAAAATTTTAGGCTTCGTATAGAGATTGTTTGGAACACTTTGCAGAAAGAGTTTTTTAGCTCCTCATATTTTGCTATTTATTTCCATCAGAGGGCTTCTTTGTACTCCTCATTGGTTCTAGGAGAGGTGGTCTTGTACGTCCCTTCCCATGTGACTGCTCTCCAATTTCAATAGAAGTCTCTGATTACCAGCCCCCACTCCAAAGAAGAAAATATATGTGCACTATAGAATTAGTGAACAAGGCAGTCCAATATATCTATAATCTGAAAATATCGCCCACAGCATAATTGAACAAATTCCAAAAGTGGGGTATAATSGAAGTGAAAGACCACCCAAATTATTGATTGGAAATTAAGATCCATCCCATATGCAGCTGTTTGTTGGAATCTTTTCTTCCAGATGTTCCAATTAGCATGAACATGGAATCGTGAGGCTGCTAATAATATTTTTCAGATTCTACATGGTGTTGGATTGGAGCCTAAAGCTAATCTACTTTGGATTAATGGGTTTAAGGCTATCATCTCAAAATTATGGTTCGAGAGGAATCAAAGGATTTTTTAAGATTCTTGTCGTCCGTCATTGGAATGCTTCAACATTGCCAAATTCAAAGCTGCTCAATGGTGTGCTCTTTTCGATATTTTCTCTTCGTATTCCCCTAGTATGATTTGTATGWATTGGGAGGCCTTTATTTCTCCATTGTAGTATAGTCCTAGTTTTATTTTCTATTTCTTGTTTTTYTCTATCACTCCTTCAGGAGTTTGTATCTTTGAACAATTTTGTTCCTTTTCATATATCAATAGAAGTTCGTATCTTGTTCAAAAAATTAAGATCGCCACTCTTGAGAAAATTATTGTAATTGAACATAAGATGATAAGGGGAGTTCCAAAACAGAATGAAGTTACACGTCATTCAATGAGATAAATTAATATTGTAAATCAATATTCATCTCTGGACAATACTAACGCATTTGGCATGCAACATAAATATGCAATGAAAGCAGAACGCACCAACAATGGAGATGGTTGTTATTGTATTCAGTTCAGTAGCAGTCTTCATGTGACCAGGCTCACCTGCTTGCATGAAGTGAATACCTCCCCAAATCATCTGGTTCCAAGTTTTTTGCAACATCAACACCTAAACCAATCTGATGATGACTTGATAGATCCCAATCAGCTGTTGTCTGAGCATCAGAAGAAGAAACTGGGATCTTCCCGTTCCAGTATGAAGGTTGAGGAACCAGTTCAAGCCCATTTTTAGTCTGGCATAAAGTTAAGGAAATTAAGAAGGAAAAAAAGTTACTTCAAATCGGAGGTWTAACTAGAAGATGTGAGCATACTGAAGCAGTTAAGGTTGCACCAACTGAGTGGAAAGGTGACTGTTGTGCAAAACTCGAGTGGCTTGCATCAGAGCGCCAAGGTGTTAATTGATACTGYGACTCTTTCAATTTTGTCTATAACCAGAGTCAGAGACCAGAACGATTAATGGAAGTAGCAAAATGAAAGATCAAATTACAGTTTCTGATGTAGTAGTTGGTTGTTATAAAAGGCTTTCCTACATAAGTTGTAGCTTATTATTCTAATTGTTTAGTTAGTTGATAGTTACTTCACAGTAACTTGTTTTACCATGTATTAGTTGATAGACAACCTCTATAACTAGGGGTTGATCTCTTTTATGAAAGCTATTCTAAGATCTCTTCAAGAAACCATTGTGCTAGTGTGCATCAGTTTCCCTTGCTATCATTGATCTATTAAATGCACAGTACCTCAGTGAGAAGGAGTTTCTCCTGCAAGTGCTTAAATAGAATCTGCAAGAATACATAAACTTCCCGGAGTTACTTTTCCATTGTATTTAAATTGAACAGGCTTAAAAGCAGCTATAAGTTATATAATAGTGAATAAACTATCTAGGTAAAATTCATGTATCTTTCCTATACAAGTTATATAGGACTATGAAAGGATAGTGATAGGTCCTATATTTACTTAGACATTCTCCAAGAGGAAATTACAACCAGTCACGCTAATGACAAATTCGAGGGGGTCATCAATCTCTCCTACACCAGTGGTCCAATACAGAACTTCACACAAAGACATACGCAACTATAACTCAGAACCAAACACAAAATATGAACAACATAACATAACTGACTATGGAAGTTACAACCACCTCTTCTTTTTAAAARAACAATTATTTCATTATAAAAAGAGATTACAAAAGGAAGGGAGATGTGACATCCTCGCTACAACAATGGGATTATAAAAAATATTCCCCCAAATATTTGCCTCAAGCCATTATTTTTTTATTTTTTTTTAACAATAAACAAACTTTTCATTGATAATATGGAAAGGAAGAAAAAGTTCAAGAATACAAGCTCCCAGAAGAAAAGCAACCAAATGTAAGAACCAAAATACAACAAAATAGACGAAATTTGAAGCCCAAGAAAAATCAAAAAGCTAAGAGATACTGAAAAAACTTTCAACAACAAAGCTTGTCAAACCAAAATGACTGTTTGTTGAGGAGGAAAAGACTACCTACTGAGGAGGAAACCAAAACAACTGCTTAATATAAACTGACCGCCAGAACGAAGAAGCAAAGAAAGTGAAACCTCCCTTCAGGGCCTTCGCCGAGAAAAGACCAAAAGAACCAAAAGATCTGAACCCTCAAAACTTGCTGCAAAGCGGAACCAACCAAAAATCTGATACCCTTAATTAAAATCTATCTATTCAGTGATTGGAACTAGGGTAAAGCCATTATTACAGAACTSTTTAAAGATAGAGCATCAAGATGAAGCATAAATTCTAACAAGGTCGGAGAAAGTGTCTTGGGTGGTGTCCTCCCCTTGAGAAGTTCTTTTTTATCCTTCAAACCACAATCTTCCCGTAATTTCTTGTTCTTTAATTTTCAATACAATTTCAAAATCTTGTCATCTAGTTTCTCACATAAATTACAATTCTAACTCGTTCAAAGTTCACAGATTTAAAGGTTCACCTTGACATTGCTGATAATGGACTGAGCATCAGGAACAGGAGGCTGCAGAGAATATTCCGCAAGAAGAGGCAGCAAAGATGATACAAATGTAGTTCTCTCTTGCTGTGCTTCCTGATAGAACCAGATTAGAACTGTGGAGTTAATTAGAGTTCATATTATAAAAATAATTGCAGTTGGTATTTTAATGGTTCTTAGATTTTTATCACTAGTCAAGGACAAGAAGATTAGGCATTATGAAAAACAGCCCCACGTGAGAAATGAGATAGCTAGGAAAGAACCTGCAATGCATATGTAAGACGTATATTTTCCTCAATTATGTCTTGTCTGTATGAGAGAGCTTTAGAAGCAGCATCAACAAGGTCTTGTTGTTGTTGATCAAAGGCCTAATTAAATGGACACCAAAGAGGGAAAGAAGTCCAATAGCAGAGCACCAATGAGAATGGACACGATGCAAACGATTGAAGTAAAAAGTTTAGGGAAGGTTATTGACAGTGAATCGAGAAAAGCCATGCTTACCAAACGCATATAGGCAATACGTTTTTCCAGAACATATTTTTCATTTCGTATTTGTGCTTCCTATTGCAATAAGAATTATCAGTAGCTCCCGAGTTAAATAAATCCTAACAAAAACGGATATTACAATAAAATCATACTCATCTACACAATGTGTTAAGATAGTCAATACGGTTCACTTACCTTGATAGAATAATCAGCAAGATGCTTGCGTAACTGCACAATTTCATCTTCATGTTCCTGGACTTTAACAACAAGATCCTGAATATGAAACACAGGTCAGAGGGCTTCCATGCAAAAGAAAATAGGGCTAGAACCAAGGGATAAACCTGCTTCCAGAGACTCTTGGGATTRTTTGCTTCAGCCTTTGACATCAGGCCATGTCCAGACAACTTAATCTGTGGATCATATTCTCCATCCACTGGAAACCTGAAAAGTCACAAAATAGTTTTCATATCCTATGTGTAACCCTCGTGTGGGGTTCCCTCCACCCCGGCCCCTAGGTTGTCACCTTTTTTGTCTTTAATATATTTGTTCTCGTTTCTCATCAAATATACATATACATATATGCTATGTTTTATTAAACTRAAAACATCATTTGGCCAATAAGGAAGAATCACATATTTTATACTTGCCTGCTAGCAGAGAAGGATGTTGTAGATGGTGAAGAGAACTGCGAGTAACCAGCATTATCAACTGAAGGCTGAACACCCGGAAGAGCATTCACTATTTCGTCAGACTTGCCGTCCGCATAACGAGATTCTTTATCAATACGCATGGAAACTTCATCTTTTTGCTCAACATCTCGATGGACAACTAGTGTTCCATGTGAATCAACTGCAGAAATGTTATTCTTAAACCTATGCCTTTCATTATCGACTGAATTATCTGATTGATGACCCCCATTTGATCCATGGTCATTCTCATTCCACTGGTCTGTGGAATGAAACCTTCGAGCCAAAGATTCATCAACCTTCTGCTACATTTCAATGAAAAGATGATAGGATGTCAAGAACAAATTATTAGATACAATTGAACAATACATCGTCTGTAAGCAAATAACAGAGAGCAAGCTCAATATCCCAAAAATAAGGAATCATAACAACTCACAATCAAAGTGTATGAAGACAAATTTCAAATAGTGCATTGAACATAGAGATAACTTGACAAGCTAATGAATTCCATAATATGTTTATAAGAAACTAAGTTACACACCAACAGCAATTATAGTTGACGGTAATCGGTGCAGAAATGTGTTAGAATATGAAAAACAATTGGGTTAAATGGGGATTTAATTTGGTATTRTAGTTAGAGGTTCTATGTTCAGACCCTATAATATTATTTCCCCYCCACCTCTCTCTCCCTTTCTTTTCACCATAGTGGGAGATGCTTAGTTCATTCTTGCTACGAAAGGAACATCCTAAAAGGTCTTACTGTAGGCCAAAATTCTATAGAGGTAACACACCTTCAGTATGCAGACGATGTACTGATTTTTAGTACTTGTTCACCTAAGTTGATGGGAAATTGGGTGGGGTCTGATTCAAATTTTCCTTACTATGAYGGGGCTTTCATTGAATGTTGCTAAAACTGCAGTGATAGGAATTAATTGCAGTGAGGCAGATGTGAGTTTCTGGGCCTCTGTTTTCGGATGTAAGGCAAAATCCTTTCCCTTATCCTATCTTGGTTTCCCTCTTGGAGGAAATCATATAATGCCAATCTATTGGGGAGCAGTGGTGGACAAAATGCACAAGAGACTAGAAAAATGGAGATCTTTGTTGCTATCAAAGGGGGGTCAATTAACTCTAGCACAAGCAGTTTTGAACAGMATCCCGATCTATTTTTTTCAATCCTAAAAGCTCCTAAGTCGGTGATCTCGACCATGGAGAAACTCATGTGAGACTTCATTTGGAATGGTGGAAGACATAGACCAATTGGAAATCTTGTGAAATGGTCATGGACTGCCTTGCCTCACAAACAGGGGGTCTTGGTATTGGCTCCCTTGGATTAAGGAATAAAGCTCTCCTCATGAAATGGCTTTGGYGCTTAGCAACGGAAAAAAAATAGTTTTTGGAGGAAGGTGATAGCTTCCATTTATGGGGAGGATTCACATGGTTGGATGCCTCTGCCTTTGCAAGGGTCTTCTATTGGAAGACCTTGGATAGATATACAGAACAACCTAGAGGCCTTCACAAAGCTCACTTTTTTTGAAGTTTCAAGTGGGGACTCGGTGAGATTTTGGGAGGATAGGTGGATTGATCCTTCCCCCCTTTCTTCTTTGTTCCCTGATTTGTACAGCCTTCCCACTAAAAAGAACCATCCTGTGGCAGCTTGCTGGGTTACCGAGGCTTCAACTTGGGATATCGGGTTGAGAAGGAATCTTTTTGATAGTGAGATCGATAGATGGGCATCTCTCATTGATAAATTAGAAGGTATGGTTCCAGGCCAAGGCAGGGATCGTTTATGGTGGAAGACAGATAGTAAAGGTTGTTTCACAGCGAAATCAGCTTTTATAGCTTTGACGGCTCCCTACCCTAAATTGAACACGACCACAACTTCTATGATTTGGAATTTTAGGATTCCAAAAAAGGTGAAATTTTTCCTATGGACTCTCTTTTATAGGAGCACAAACACAGTCGAGAGAATACAAAGAAAGCTCCCCCATTGGACGCTCTCCCCTCCGGTTTGTGGTCTCTGCCTAAGAAATTCAGATTCGGTGGATCATATTTTCATCCACTGTTTTTTTCCACTCGAGCTTGGAACTGTATGGCTTCGCTTTTGGAGTTTTCCTTCTGTCTTCCTAAACATATAGATGACTTCATAGCGGAAGGATTTGGTGGGGTGGCGCTCAAAGGCAAAGCTGCGGTCCTATGGCACTGTGCAGCGAGGGCTCTTGGTGGGTCTTCCTAATTTCAGTCCCTTTAGATTCTTTTTGTGTGAATACAAAGCATACAGCTTCTTGGTGGGCCACAATCCACTAGAAGGCTTTTGGAAACTACAGTCTCTTTTTTATTTCACAAGATTGGAAGAATGCGATTGTATAGTTCTCTTTGGGGAGGGTTCTCTCTACCCTCCGCCTTTAGGTTGTTCTCGCCTTTTTGGGCTCTTTTGATTTGAATGCACTCTCTTTGTTTCTTATCAAAAAAATATATATATATATATTGATAAACACCTATTGAGACTTGTACAAATTTCCAAGGCAATAATTCCAAGGCAATAATGGAAGGGGAACGAGGGCCTGTTATCTGCCTTGGATTGAGGTTATCACTCTTTTGTTATCCTAATTTCATATTATTTGGAACAAGGGAGAGAGGGAGAGCTCTCCCCCTCCTTCCCTCTTCGTGGCCAGCAAAGGTCGCCAAAGGCAGTGATGGCTAGCGAGGACTAAGATGGCAACTCACCAGAGGAAGGGAGGAAGAAGAGGGTGAAATGAAAGGAGATAATTTGGAGGGAAAAAAAACAGCGAAAGAGAAAATTTCAGTCATTAAAAAATTATTAAATTAATATACAACAATTTAACTACCACGTCATTTTAACATTAGTCAACTAATGGTCGAAGTAGCTTAGAGACCTTTTTTTAACAAGATATGAACTTCAAGACCATTTAGAACCGGTACTCAAACTTTAGGGACCAAAAGTGTAAGATGTCCATTTTGAAAATTCGATGACCAAATAGACACTTACCTCGGATCTCAGAGACCAAAAGTACATTTTTCCCTATGAAATTTACAAAAAGCAAAACCCTATCCAATGAAGTAACAAAAACTTCTTCAATTGGATGAAAGAGTGTTCAAGCTATAATTGTTGGGAGGAGAATCATTTCTGCACAAAGTATTATTTTCCCTCAAAAAGTCTATAATTCCTCTCTCTCCAAACTGTCCATGTGAAAGGTATGTTGATTTGTAGCCAAAAGGAATCCTTTTCGGCTTGAAGGGTTGTGACTGAGAGTTGACGTCAACCAATCCCTACGTCAACCAATCCCTTGTGTTGTCGGTGAGACGAACTCCATCCAAAAATAGAAAAGAAATGCTTCTAGATCTTTGAGGAGAAGGGACAATATATAAAAATATGACATTGAGATTCACATTCCGTGTTACATAAACAGAACCATGATGGAGAAAGGCAGAAGGGGGACAATAAAGATGATAAAGATGCCTATTCTTTTTAAGTTTGGTTGTGTTTAACCATCCCTTCCAAAAGGTTTCTTCGGTTCCCTTTGGATTTCGTGTTGATTCCCAGGTTAACAGTGAGAGACCCCTGTGGTMAATACTTATGTGAGGAGGGGTAAAGGGGGAAATTCCCTTAGCTAGAGTCCAAGAGGGAACTTTGTGGGTAGGGAGTACTTAAGTTTTGTATTTTCCTAGAATGTTTTATGTCTTATCTTTTGTAAGGATTTGTCCTTGGAGGGAGAGCTCCAACCCTCTCGAACGGTTGGTACTGTGTAAGCCTTAGGGCATTGACTCTTTTGCTTCAAGTATCATTAAGTGGGGAAGATACCTTACAATTTGGTATCGGAGCCTCGTCCTGGGGAAATCAATCAAGATGACACAAAAGAATCTCGAGGAGCATTGTGAAAGCAATGAGAAAGAACTAGAGGATGTCAATGAGAAAGAACTAGAAGAGGTAAAAGAGCACTTGAATTCAATTGTTAATCACATTGAAGAACATGGGAAAGCAGTGGCCATGCTTGTCTCGGAGTTCTCAGCTTCTAAGTCAAGGGAAGCTTCAGCATCATAGGGAGAGACCTCAGGCCAGAAGCGAAAGGTACCAGAGGAAAGAGGCAAGTTCGACGGAGGAGACCCTTCAGAAAAATGGGAAGATGGCCAGTACGATCGTAGCAAGTTTAAAAAAGTGGAGATGCCGGTGTTTTCCGGTGAGGACCCAGACGGATGGTTGTTTAGGGCAGAACAGTACTTCCACATACACCGCTGGACACTGAAAAAATGACGGTGGTCGTGATTAGCTTTGACGACACCGCTGGACACTGAAAAAATGACGGTGGTCGTGATTAGCTTTGACGGAGCGGCTCTTACATGGTATTGGTGGGAAACCAAGGATCAAGATTTTTTGAGTTGGTACGATCTCAAGATTAGGCTCTTTGTGTGTTTCCGACCGTCGTAGGAGGGGAGCCTCTGCACTCGATTTCTCGCTATACGACAAGAGGGGACAATCATGGAATATTGCAGGTTGTTTGAAGAATTGGCAGCGCAGGTACAAGGATTGTCAGACGAGGTATTGGAGGGGTCTCCACCCCCTCATTCGGGCCGAAATCCTAAGTTGGGAAATCACTGGGTTGAGCAGAGTCATGAAAACGGCCCAACTCATCAAAGATCGTAATGCAGCCGTACAGCAGTTTAATGAGGCCTCCAAGGGAAACTGTAATGGGTCAACCCAATATAGCCCAAAAAGCAACCTAAAAGTTGTCAACCCTGCGCCTACCACTCGCACAATCACCCTAACAAGGAGACCCTCAGCACCTTCCATGGGTACGATCGCTGCAAAAAAGGACGGAAATTTCAAAAAATTTCCTGAGACGGAATACCTTACACGCAAAGAGAAAGGATTGTGTTTTCAATGTGATGAAAAGTACCCTATAGGGTACCGATGCAAGAACCAAGAATTGAGAGTGCTAATGGCTCACGACGATGAAGAAATGGAATCACCAATGGAATACGAAACCCAGGAACGAGAGACGACGCTGGAAGTGATGAGCGAGATAACAGAGTTGTCCTTGAATACGGTGGTTGAGTTCTCAACTCCGAAAACGATGAAGTTAAAAGTGGAAATCGAGCAAGCGGTCGKGGTGGTGCTCGTTGACTGCTGCGCGACCCATAACTTCCTCTCCCAGAAGGTCATCAACACTATTAACATCCCGACCGTGGAAACTTCAAACTATGGCGTAGTGATGGGTACGGGAGTGGTCGTCAAAGGAAAGGGGATTTCTAAGGGAGTGATGCTCAAGCTTCTAGAGTTGACCATGAT